AAAATCGATAACACAATAATACTTTTTTTATAAAACCCATTAACTCAATAACCCAATAACATTTTTTTTTATTCGATTGATTGATCGGTTCATTTATTCACACCCCTACGCATTAGCACGGCCAATAAGGGGCAAATTGGAAAGAAAAAAAAGCAGAAAACAATATATATATATATAATAGTTTTGAGAGTAAAACATATTATTATCAAATATAAAATGAAAATAATCATATGGTAAGATATTATGTAATTATTATTCTTAATCTATTCTACCTTCTCTAGATAGTGAAAGTCTGCATACACTTTATTCTCCTCAAACTTCACTTGAAATTTCATTAAATATGTTTTTGTATTATTCTTAACCCACTAACTAAACACTAATCTATTAATATAGAAAAAAAGTAGTTTAACATAAAAAAGAAGAAGATGAAAAGAGGACAAATATTATTTTATGGACGGTGATGAATTATGAAAAGATAAGAGCATTATTCCTGCTTTTTAAGCCGGCCAATATTGACGTGATGCTGTGGAGCTAGTGCGACTTTATATTATTATTATACAAAAGAAAAAGGAAATTAAGGATCTTTTATTTATTAATTAAAAAAAGAGGTGACGTGTACTTGGTGATATTCATGGCATAATAAAAATAAAATAATCACTAATTAATAGATGGTTGAGATGATTGAAATTTCGTTTTGAGATCAAATTTTAGGAAGGAAGAACTATAAGATATGACACTAAATATCAAATATTGGCTGGTTAAATAGAAGTCTTTATAGCAAATTTAATTACGTTTTTGATCCATATTATAATTGAGAAACTTTTTTGGTTATTAACTAAAAAAGTAACCAATGATGTAACATGTTGGATTTTATTTTGTTCATATTATAGAGTAAACGAAAAATATATTCCTTACTCCTTAGTATCTTTATTCTTTACGATGTTGGTTCTTATATTAACAACTGGAATATATTTAGTTTTCATTTTAAATTTAAAACGAGATGACTATTTCTTTGAATTTAACTAAAATAGAAAAAATAAAGTATCTCAAAATGGGTCCTTGAATTTCAAAAAGCACTTCAAGGAATATAAAAAAAAATGGGTCCTTGAATTGCAGCAAAAGGACTTTTTAAAATAAAAAAAGAAATAAGAGTTATAATCGAGCAATAAGTATTTTTTTTTCATTCTTAATCAGAAGTTTGAAATTCGAGTGATTTTGACTACGTAGTTGTTCTTGCTAGGAATTACCTCCAATATGGTACTTTCTTTTATGGAAAGTCAATTTAATTAGTTCAACTCTGATACAAATACTAAACATGGAATAAAAATTTTCTTAAAGAAATTATTTTATAGAGATTCTTAATTGTCAACTACATCCACAACTTCTTCTTTTTCTTCTAATTTAATAATGCTACCCACATACCAGGCAAAACATAATTTTTAAAAATTGTCATGATCCATAACTTGTGGGAGAAATTACTACTACTTTTTTTCCCCAAAACTTCTTATAATCAGAAAACTATAGTGCCCAATTTTAAGAAAACAGATTAGTAATTTAATTTGGTAAGGACTCAAAAATGAATTTTGTCATGCTTAATTTTGTAACATAATCTTTTTAATCATGCAAGACTATATATAATAATAATTCAATTAATACAAAAGTCTAATTAAAAGATTTGGTGATTTTGATATAAGATTGCTTTAAACAAAATTAACCTCCACCACACATTAAATTCCACACCTGAAAATAATGTTGTTCTTTGAAAATGGCACAAAGTGATGCTAAAAAAAGAAGATGAAAGGATTTTTGTACCTATCTTTAAAGTCAATCAAAACAGTTTGTCATTTTCAATCTTTAGACACCTTTTTTTGGGTAAGAATTTTATGAGAATATTCAAAGAAAATTAAATTAAATGCCAGTATCTACTTCTTGGGGACCAAATTAAAAGAGTATATTTTTTGGGTGGAGTATGAATTATCTCAAGAATTCTCATCATAAATATATTTGACAAATATATTTCTTTGTTACGTTTTTACCTACCTAACTAAAGTGAAAATGGAGTAGGCATGCATTTGTACAATATTTGAGTGGAGGTTGGAAAATAGAGTATTTAATTTTGAAATTGAAAAAGGTTTAAACAATTTTTGAGATGAAATTTTAAAAAAATAGAATTGAAGTCGAAATTAAGGTGTGTTTGCCTATTTGGTATAGAGAAAAACTTTTCTCCTGAAAAAAACATTTGTTTCTATTATGGAAATATGAAAAAACAAGTTATACAAACAATATTTCACATTGATATTGTCCTCCATACCTTTCACCACATGACCTCAACTTCACCTCCACACCTCTTGTCTTCTGTCGTCTCGTCACCTCTCATAGTATTTGTCTAGATTATATTCAAATACATTTAAAATAATATTTTTACTTGCTTGTCAAACACAAAAAATTAAATTAAAAAAAACTCACTTATTAATTATCTTAAGAGATGTATTTAAAAAAAATATATTTTTCACGAAAAACATTTGACATCATATCAAACGCACCCATAGGAAAAAATGCGAAAGTTGAACTCAGCTCCTGTTTTTAAACTTTATTTTAAATAAGAAAAGTTGGTAAATTTTAATGGACGATAAGTGACAGAAAATCACATCAATTTTTCATTTTAATGAAATTCAATACTTGGGAAAATGTTTATCACCAAACTAATATTTGCAAATATTAAAATAATATGTAGCCTAAACGACCCTAAATTGTTGGTGGTAATTACCATTTTAATGTTTAATTCATTTGAAATACGTTTATTAAGTTTTCATTTGATGTCAGCCCGTCAGGTATTTGAATACTTTTGCTTTGAGTCTCAACTATTAATCCAGATTCACACCAAAAAAATCATATATTAAAATATTCGTTGATATGTTATCTTTGTAACAAAACAAATATATAACGAACTTCAGCATTTGTCAAAACTAAAATAGTATACTAAAGGGTACTAGTAATATTTAAGCTCATAACATAAGTTTATTAAACGGCGAAATGGTCTGCTTGACCCTTATACTTGTATGTGTTTGTATTCCAAATCCTCATACTTAACAGTTTGTCAACTAACTCTTAAACTCATTAAAACACAATACTTTAAATCCTTTTCTCATCAGATCACTGTGTGTGCAATCCAACCTCTTACATGTGTAATTTCATGTCATTTTACAATGACACGTAAGAAATTAAATATTAAGAAAATAAAGAAAAACAAATATTTAACTTTTGAAAATTTTTGAATTGCCATGTTCTTCAACCTCTATGTATGCTCACAATTTGAGCACCAAATTCATGTAAAATTGATGAAATTCTACTTTATTTGACTTGAAATTTCAACTAGAAGTCCATAAACACAAAACCTATTAGCCACAATCACAAATTTAAATTATTTTTACAAATTCATAAGATCCATTTGTTGTTCTTCAATTTTTCTCAAACTTATCAATGGAGTTTTCAACTTTTTCAATACCCATCATCACTTTTTATATTAATCCATATCATACATTCTCTTTAAAACCAATACAAATAATGATTTCAACTTTTAAATAAAAAAAAATTAAAAAAGGAAATGGATGCGGTGGGTGATTTTGTTTAAGAAGAAAAAAAGGAAATGGATGTGGTGGGTGATTTTGTTTAAGAAGAAGAGAAGAAAGTTTAGAGTTATGGGTGGGAAGAGTGGTGGAGAAGAAGAGAAATTGGGGTGGGGTGGGGTGGGAGAGGGTTAATGAAGAAATATGTTTTTTTAATTAAAAAAAAAAAATCGAAAAAAATGTTTTTAAATAGAAAATAGTGTAATGACGTGTTTGGAAGTGAGTGCATTTACACATTTTTCTAACTTAGCAATATTTATGTCATATAGGTTTGGTCAATGGTCAGAGGGGTTTCAAATATTATATTTTAATAAGTTTAAGGATTCAGTTGACAAAGTATAAAGTAAAAGGGTTCAGAATATAAACTCATACAAGTATAAGGGTCCATCAGACCATTTCGCCTTATTAAAAAACAATAATTTAGCATAAATCAAGAATCATTAAGACATTGAAGGTGTTCCAAAACCTTAAGACATCATAATATTATATAGTGTAGCATGGTACTTCCCAAAGGGTTAATTAAATGGATTGAAATTTGATGTTATGCTTTATATATATATATATAGAAGAATTGATTGTCTACCAAATATTTAATTATTGGAGCAATCAATATCAGTCTCAACATCATGCTTGGTTTTCTCTACTTTTTATACCAAATGAACAATCAAGGCAAAAGTAGCACTGCATGTTAAATTAGGAAATGTTTCTTTGATGTGTGGACGTATTATTAGCTTCATTATTTCATATTATAAAATTAAATAAATAATTAAAAGTTTTGTATATCAAGTATATATGTATGTATATAATTACTTTATCAACTGACATTGCCATGCAGCAAGAACCCAAGTACACAGCCCATGGGCCTGCAGATCGGATGCGAGCTTGCTGGGCTTGACATATGAAAAGGAGAAACAACACAGAGCACATTCTTAACAAAGCTAAAATACTAGTAGTAGTTTTCTTTCAAAATTATACCATCTATTTATTTTGATGTGTGTAATATGTATAGTAAAATATAATTAATTACTATTCCGATTGTTGGATGTATCGAATTTGGATACACACGTTATTTTTAATATAATTATTGTATCCAAAATATGATTCACATCTACTTATTAATAAAAACATCCTCTTTGAAACTGCCAAAATTGTCACATTGGTGCCAAAAAACACCTTACATCAAACCAAATAAACTTCCAAAGACTAAAAAAAAAAACTAGAAATTTTACATACTTACATTCATTGGAATCCCACAAAATTTCAGTCTCTTTGTTTATGTTTCCCTACTCCTGTCCCTTTAACACAAGACTTAACAAAGCTCTTGAAACTAGCCTTGTTATGAGCTAATTTATTCTTCAAATTAAAATTCTCCTCCTCTTTTTTCTTCTTCATCATCTCCAACTCTGCCTCCAATTGCAAACACACATTCAACACTCTGTTCTCAACATTTACCAGCCTCTCAATGAGTGTCCCCTTATGCTCAGTCTCCGAAATCACGTCTTCTATAGGGCGGCAATGCTTCTCCATGCTTCTTGGAGAGAAATCGAGCGACGAAACTTGCCCGTCGCTCGTTAATGTCTCGCTTGATGCTGTTGATGTCTTCGGGGAATGATCACCTCCTCTAACTTCCTCCAATTTTTTTATCTAAACACACAAATATGAATTTATATCAAACGTCAAAAAACTTCCTATTTGATGTATATATTCCCATGTAACACGTCCTTTCTTATGGAGATTGCCCCCTTTATTATTATAAAATAAGACAGGCCCCACATCCTTTCTTATTTCTTGAGAGATAAAACAATCTTCACTCAATTACTCAAAACTGACTAGTACAAAATCATGTGATCTATCCTCATTTACGTATCCCATTGGCACTAGCCTAATGCCCCGCCTACTCGTCTTTAACTGACTTATTTGTACCCCATCTACATGATGAAAATCATCTTGGCCAATTGACCGATACAATCCGCGTGCTTGCCTATCCTTCGAAAATGGAAAATCATGAATTAAGACATCTAAACTCCAAGGGTGAGGCCACCAAGTACCAAGTTTACAATTGGTCGTACGTTGATTTGATTTGATTTAATTCTGAGTTCGATAACTCGTAGAGTTCAATAAAAAAAAGGTAATTTTATATCATCTTGTCATGACTAACCTCTATTTCCAACATTAATTGATAAACATGTTACCAATTTTACTATTAATAAATTAAGATACACTGATAATCTTACTATTATTATTAAGAAATTAAAATTCACTGATTGTTTATATATATTTGAAGCGTATGCTTATTGCTATGACTTAGTACTTGGCACTTATTTTTTGCTTGAATCAAATAATAAGAAGAACCACGTTATTAAAGGTAGAAAATGAAGAAAACAACTGATGCAAAAAAAAGAAAAACGTCAAACATACTATCTAGAATCATTATATCAAGAAAATAAATAAATAAATAAATAAATAAAGAGTAATTAGAGAAGTACTCACAATATTGTCAAGTCTATCAAGCCTAGAGAGTATTGGTTCTTCTACTGCTGCCATTTTCTTCTTTTCCTTAATTATATCCTTTTTCTTTCTTTCTTCAGTGTGTTGTGTTGATGATAATAATAATAATAATAATATAATTGCCGGGGTCAGAGGCAGAGGGATATTTATAATGGATTTTAGGTGGTAAACTAATACATGGCAGGATATAAGAAGAGCAACTGGCACTTGACACGTTACAACATTTTATATGTTTGATGAGTATATGATGATGTTTTGGTAAATCTATATTCTGTTGACACGTTGAGGATTGCATGCAGTGGATATGTATTCACATTTTTGTGTCATGTTTATCCCACTTCCCAAAACTACAACCCTCCAAGGTTCCAAATCAACAATCATTTTCCCATTGGTTTGAATAAAATGAACGTTTTTATTGTTATTAAAGAATAAAAAGTCATATAAGGTTATTTTCACATATTATTTAGAATCTTGACTTTTTGCGTAAAAAACCTAACTCATCAAAAGTTAAGAAAAATTAACCATTTAACCCTTTAATCAGTGTATGCTAAGTAATGGCAATAAGAATTTGAACTTTCTGAAATTGAAATCAGAACTTGAATAGAAAAACAAGTGGACACACCCACAAGGAAATCCATCTCGAAACCGAGTAATAATTAGTTAGTCTTACACGGTGAACCTTGTTTTCATCACGTAATTCATCAAGCAGGCTGCACAGTTATTAAAATGGTAATTACGATTATAAAAATAAATTATTAAAGTAATTTTTGAATTGTTTTGGACAGTAAAATAACCAAACTATGTTCATGTTTCCAATAAGGTAAAAACAAACGAAAAGTTAAATATTTAACGGATGTTTACATCTTCAGATTATTAGGATCCATTTTCATTTGAACAAGAATAAAAGGTTACAAAACTGTTTTATATGATATAAAAAAAAAATTAATATAAAACAATTTAGTAAATTGGGAGGATTAAAAATGGAGCTGCATGTCCTGAACCTACTCAAGCGAGAACTAGTGACAATCTAATTTATAAGTAAATGAATGAATAAAAAACAATTTAAGCTTTTAGATGAGATTGTTAGGGTTTTGTCCTGATTTTCTTACCTTATTTGAAGTTTATTTTTTCCTAAAAGAAAAGACAATACATTACCATAAATGTTTTTACTTTTCCTGAAAGGAAAATATAATATTCTCCATATTTGAGTTATTCTTTCCTTGGAAGAAAAGTTTGGAACTCTATAAATTGAAGACCCCTCTTCTCATATAAAAAACACAAGAGAATCCACAATGTAGTCAGTTAAGAGTCTTGTTTATGGGGAGATTTTCTCCTAAACATATTTATGTTTTTTTTCAATATTATATTAGTTTTATAATATGTAGGTCGTTTGACCAAACCATATTAATAATATATCTTTAGTATGTTTTTATTTGTCGTCTGATTTGTCAACCATATGATTTGCAAATTATAAGCTTCCGCATGACGCTATAATCACCCTTCAGAACCCAACAGAGATGACGGCATAATTCTATGTGATCTGCCAATCATTATAAACATTCAGAAATGATTGCAACCTTGAAGTCACATCAAATATGTATGGATGAAAAACATGTAGCCTGATATATTGGTCAATCAGATGCACTATACAGTATTGCCTATCAAGACTAATGGAAAAAGGAAGGGCAAAATAAAACACCAAAGAGAGCTAGCTAATCCAAACTTCCAGCAATCTCATCATCATCAGATGGCCATATAACAGTTTGAGCTAGTCGTTCACGCATCAGTTCCACATTCTCATCAGATATTCTGTTATATAATTCAGCATGATCACATTTCTACATCCAACACAGAATGTTCATTAGCTTTCCTCTGCATCATTGCAGTTGAAATAGCAAATTTCCACTCGTCCATGATACAATACAGACGAATGGAAGATAGATAAAAGGGATTAGTACGCCTTTCGCCATAAATTAAACTATTTGTTTGTCATAAAGAACAGGTCAATAGACTGCTTTTGAACAAAGATATGTATAATTCAAGAACACGGTACTTTTGAAGGAGCAAAACATTTACATCAAGCAGTAGCTAAAATCAAAGTGGCATACCTCCATCCATATGCTGTAAAGGCTAAGACGTGTAATCATCACTCTCTCAGCAAGTTCTCGCTTTTCCTGCGAAACTTTTAGAAACTATCACACACACATAACAATACAGACAAAATGCAAAACTCAGCTAATATGAGGGTAGTTATCCTTAAATCTAAGCGAACATTATTACAGTGCTATTTCCTTGAAAACATATTTAAATGGATGCGAAGGACAGAGGGAAAATCCTTGCAAGTTGCATGCCATATATTCACTTTTTCCATATAGAAAGATAGAATATTTATCAATATATACAATGTTACCTTGAAAAGCTGTTGAAGGAAATTTTTCCCAGTGTTAGGCACGTGGTTTGCTATAAAACTGTAAAACGGAAAAGGATAAAAAAAATTAGTGAAATAACCAGTGAGCAAAACCATCAAAAGACTCATACCTCTCAGTGCCATTGAACAAACAAGATTCTTTGACACAGCAGTTTCGCTACTTTTTACCAGGTGAAACTACACTTTAGACCCTGTGCTTCCAGTTTGGAGCTTTGTTCTTCTTTTCATATAACGGTGGTGTCTACGCTAGCTTGTGTACATCTTGACTAATCCCACTAGCACAGGTATATATTAGATAATCAACTCTGTCCATCAAAGCTTGGACAACTGAGAACAATTAACCTAGTATTACCTCTACTGTGATTTGAACCAAGCTTCCCGAGGTATTATTCCACTTATTCGACCACTAAGTCACTCCCTTGGTGACTCCAAATCAGAGCATACTAAGCTCGCAAAAGTGGTAGTATAATCCAATTTTAAAAGGTATTTTTTAGGGCAAAAGTACTCATTACCCCCCTGAACTTGAAGCTTTTTATACGGTGTACACCTAAACTAAATTTCGTTTTAATTACCCCCCGAACTTGTTTATTCCTCCGTCGCGTACACCTTTTTCGTCCACCTACTCCTGTTGTGACTACACGCGCGTGACAGCTGTCTAAATTGGTGATGTGGATTTCCACCTGGATAAATTAATATTGCAAAAAATAAATTTCTTAAATTTAAAATTCATTGTTTAAAAGTTATTTTTGAATAAGGGCTGATTTCGCGAAACTCCTTCTGGATTTGGGTTTTCTAGACGTGAAGTTGGTCGATTAAATTTCAAATTTGTCTGAAATTCTTACCAAGTAAGTGTTAATCTTTGTTTCCTTTACTTTTCATTTACATTTTGCCCTATTTTTTGTTTAAAATATGCCAAATATTAAAGAAAAATGGAGATTTTACGTTTTTTTACCGTTGTAGCTTTGTGATGTGGCAAAAAATCACTTCCTCACGCGCCTAATAGAGTGTGTTGTCAATTTCTACGCCAGGTGGATGAAAAAGGTGCACGCGACAGAGGAATAAACAAGTTCGGGGGGGTAATTAAAACAAAATTTAGTTTAGGTGTACACCGTATAAAAAGCTTCAAGTTCAGGGGGGTAGTGAGTACTTCTGCCATTTTTTAGGGAATGGATGATTTAAAATACAAGTTCTCAGGAGAAATTTAATGTTACCTTCAAGTGGAAAAGCAAATTCGGACAATATTTTCCGTATTTCCATTCAAATCAAGATTAACAGATATCTAGGAAAAGGAAAAAGAAACAGTTTCAAGAGAGCCAAAGAATGTCAAATGAAAAATGAAATGCACTATAAAAGGGAAAACATATAAAAGCTCAGGAGATAAAACGCTCATCGTATTTTAATAATAAAATAGAAAAAGCAAAGGACGACAAGAGAAGCATGTTGGAACAAATGTTCAATTATTTTTGGAACAATACATTTGATAAAAGTTTTGATTTTCTTATTGAATGAATGTGAATCCATAGGTTTCACTTCATTTTGTTTATACGTTAGGTTCTTTTGAAAAATACATTTATCGTCCAAAATTCACAAACCTATTAATAAATGTTATTTGATGAAAACTCTTCTTACAAGAACTTTTATCTTATAAATAGTTCTTGTTTTCTCATAAAAGAAAAGCACTTCAAAAACTCTTTCCCTTGAAAATATTTGAGAGACATTGACCAAAAGGTGAAACCACAGATCAAGAATAGAAGATCAACGTTCTTGAGTGATACTTGTTGTGTGGCTTAGTTGAATTTCTTCCATTTGCTTGTGGGAGAGGAGACTCCAACTATTTTCAAGAAACGTCTTGACGTGTCCACTAAGACAAGCAAGTCCTATTTTGGGTCTTGAATATTATTATTATCTGTATTATCCTTGTTCTAACAAAGCATATAACTGCCTCAGCTGCCGTTCAGGCCTTTCACTGCCCCTCCAATGCAGCTTCTTGCCCTCTCTCAGTTTACCTCGCCCGCATTCATTTTTACTTCCTTTCCCCAGCCTTCTCTAACCAACAGCCACTACCACTAAACCACAACCACACTCCCATCCTTCCAATCCAATCTAGAGCCCATCTCCTTTGAAATTGTCAATTTATTTTCCTCTTTCCCTTGCTTTAAAGGAGTAAAAAACAATAACACCAAAACTGTGATGGTCTTTGCATCTATCACTCCTCACATGATTTTGTTTAAATTGGATTAAGGTGTCAGTTTTTGTAACATCAACAGCCTAAATGCTAACTTGAATCGTTGGGCTAAATCAGAGGATCATCATATCTGGAGAGTGGAGAGTGGATACGCTTAAGAAGAAAAGAAATCTAAACTTACTTGTAAAACCATGTGTACTGTGGGGGGTTCATCTCATAGAGTTGTTGAAGAACAGTCCGTACAGCTTTGTAAGTGATAACATTGATTATTTCCTGCAAATGCCAATCACTTAAGGAGTTGATTATGATCAAGTAAAAACGGAACTGCAAAAGGAGATCGGACACGGTTCACTTTGAAGTCATACAGTTCCAGCAAACCGAGGATAAAACAGTTTCAGCAGATTTCATTTTTATGGATGGACAAAATTCAAGTGCAGAATCAACAAAGAGAGCACTGTAATAATGAA